AAAGCTTTTTTACTAGCTTGTAGCTCTTTTTTATTTTTTTAATTGCTTAGAAATTTTTTCTTCTAATAATTCGTTCTTTTGATATAACCGTTCACTAAAAAATTAGAACAAAATAAAATTTAATAATCAAGAAAGATTTTAAGTATTATTTTAATTATAAATATACATTTTTTAATGATTATTTTTATATTTACAAAATATTTAATGACTAAAGTCCTTTAAACACTTGACAGATTTAATTTTGAGGTTAAGAAGTTAGTATTATAGATATACGGTCATTAATTGGATTGTGATAGAATCAGAGGGTCTAATAAATGACCGGATGAATTTTTTACTGGGTAAATGGCTTCTGACGGATCCAATAGTTGACCGGTCTTAAAATAATATTAAAACTTATAATTTAACTTTATTTTTTCAAAAAAGTTGGAATCTGATCTTTAATTAACATAATAAAACTAAAATATTTTATATTATGCCGATAAATATCACTAAATTAATGATGAAATGCACTGACTCTCCAATAATTGTACGCTAGTTATTTTTGACCGCTTTATGGCTGGTTCCGTTGTAAACAAACTCAGAATATTTTTTTAAAGCTATAATCACTGCGCAATTAATTGCGTAATTTTTTATTATGATGATTAAATGCCATATTTTTTCATTTTAATACTCTAAGAAAAAAAAACCCTTGTAAAATATTAATTAATTAACTTTTTTGTTCATCGGTCAACTAATTGATGACCGGTCAACAACTGATGCATTTACCCTAGTGTTAAAAATTTCAATAAATATAAATTAATAATAGTGTGAATAAAAAAAAAATTATTTTATTTTCTATAAAAAGCGTGTTTTTAGTTTTTTTAAACTATTATTTATTAATACGACGGGACACTTAATACTATTTATAATATAATTTTTCGAGTTTTCTTTTTTTTGGGCAATCAATGATTCAAAATTGGATAGTTCACTTAATTATTTATTTTCAAAATTCTAATTGGTTTTACTCGAAAAAAATTTATAGAAAGGATCCAAACATTTGGCTCGCATAAATATAAAAAATATTCATCTATACTGTGGACTATAAGCCGAAGTTAAAAATATAACTATAACAATAAGTTAATCTAGAAGAAATTAATTTTATTTACAATTCAATTTAAAGGTTTGTTTAAATTTTCTCAAAAATATTTTAAAACTTATTCTTTGATACGAATTCAACGGCTTCTTGCGTTTCAAGTAAATCATAATAAAGAAATGATAGGGAACTGTACCACCAGCGAATAGCAAGTTACCTACTGACTATTTAGTATATTAGAAGGTATCTACTGTGTCTTCAAATACCAATTAAAAAAATTATAATAATAATTTCTTTATCCGAATTTTTCAATTAATCTATTAGAAACTATTTTTAATTTGATTTATAATTTTTCTTCTTTTTAATATAATTTGTAGATGATTTTAAGGATTTAGTTTTTTTCAGGACTAGTAAAGAAAAAAAAAATTTTAAATAATAATAAAAAAAAATAATTTAACTCCCAATTAATAAAATCTGTATTAAATTATATTTTTTAGTGAAAATTTATTTATTTTTATTTTTTTAAGCTTACTAAATTATTTTAGTGTATTATATTATTTTAATGAAAAATTATTAGCTTAAATAGATAAATAAAAAAAAAAAATTAAAATTATAAATGAAAAATATATTTCTAAGAAATGTTTAATTAAAAAAAAATTATTTTTGATATAATTAATTTTTTAATTACTTAAAATTAATTTTATTTAATAAGAAATATTAATTAATAATTAAAGGCAGGTAAATATTTTTTAAATTGTTTTTATTACGAGAATTCGTTTGTGTGAGCACACATTTATATCAAGTTTATATTACATATGTATAAATTTTATGTCAGTATTAATATTAATATTATCAATATCAATAGCTATTTTTAATAATAATAATAGTAATTATAAACAAAGTCACTCGTTTTATAATTATCGTTTATTGGCTTGGCTGTAAAACAGTTTTACTTAAAAATTATCAATAATAATAATAATAATAATAATAATGATAATAATGCCTAAGGTAAAATATATTACAAAAGTTACACACTAAGCGCACAATTAATTTCGCAATCAATAATTAATAATTAATAATTACTATTTTCGTCGTATAATAACCAGCAGGACGGGATATAAGCATAATTATATTTTTAAAAAATTCGTAAATATTAATTATTAATTACCGTCATTCATAATTATTATAATATATATATATTTTAAATATAAATTTTGTGTTTATATAAAAAAAAAAAAAATCCAAATAAATAAAAGCCAAATACAATTTTTAAATATTTATTTCAAAATAATTTTATTCCGGCTTATTCTTCGTTGATTAATAAATTTTTTTAATTTTTTTTTTAAATTTATTTTATGGACTAGAGATTTCACTACATGCTCATTATTGTTATTGCGTGCTTACACTTAATGTATCAATATATATATATATATTATATATATATATATATATGCTTATATATATTTGAATTTATAAATAAACGCGACTTAACCTATTATGTTTCCATTTTTTTTTGTCAATTTAATATTCAATATATTTTATCCGTGCGTCTGTTTAAAATCAAGGCACCAATTTATTAAACAAAAAAAAAATAATTTAATTTTTTTTTTATAATTTTTCCTCACAATAAGTCAGGAAAAAAATATCTTATACTATTGCAGGTTATGTTAAAAATGTCTTTGGTATTTCTTGTTTATTATTTTGATCAACCGAAAAAAAAAAAAAAATATTAATGCCGTCGCGTGAAATTATGAAGTGAAAAATAAAAAAAAGTACAATTAAAAAAACTAAAGAAAAAAAATGATAAATATTTTGGCATAAATCGTTGTTACTATCTAATTAATATAAATTGTTTATTTTTATTCTTTGTTAATATTTTAAATATTTAAGTTATTATTTTGTTTATTATTATTTCCCGCCAGTTCAGAGCCCAAGACTCAGTCTCTCACATTCTCTCTCGCGATTATACAACAACAAAAAAATATACGATATAAATCGCGTTGATATGCGAAATTTTTGATTTAACTAACGGCATTTGATTATTCGTCAAAACTTGTGTTATTTATCTGCGCTTAAAACCCTACTGCGCATGCCCGAGATCTATTGCGCATGCGTAGTAGCTACTGCGCATATAAAAGGAAACCGCGGGAAAATTTGAAAATTTGAACCGCAATGACAGTATATGAGCTGGAGGAAGCACACAATTGTTAAACAAAACAAAACTTCATTCAGAAAACGACTTTTACACATTATTTTAAAGAAAAAAATCTCCTGAATTAACATATCACGCCCGCGCGACTTACCACAAGCAAGCATATATCCAATCATCCGATCTAATCACAAAACAGTCTAGAATTTGATTCAAGACCGATAAATCCTGATAACGTCCCTAATCTGCGCTCTGCACAGAGGGCACTGTCCACCACCTTTACCCCGCCATTGTTGAATTGCGCAGGGATAACACATGCACATGTGACCGCACATGTAAAGGACACTATCAATGTTCCTTTCGTAGCAGATTGAGCATTCGCTGGGCTGACCAGGAGTAGGTTGTAGTTTTTCACTCCACTGCTGCAGGTGAGGGTTCCCAGTGCCTTGAAGAGTCAAGGTACTTGAATCAATAGCTTGGTAAGTAACAGGGTCAACGTAGGTAGACGAGCCAGTGCTGCTCATCGTCCCAGTTAGCACCGGAGGCGAAGCTCTGGGGGTTGAAGCAGCTACGGGATTCCCTCCAGTGGAACCCGTGGAACCAGTTGGCCCCGTGCTGGAACCACTTGGGTAGAATCCCGGAGATCGGTTGGTCGAGCCGTAGATTGGCGGCGAAGCGGGTGGGTAGTTCTGTTGAGGTGGAAGGTTCACCACTAGGACAGTTTGACCCCCAATGCCTGACTTAACCTGGACCATGTCTGGGTATCTGGTTAATTCAGTGACGTGGCCTTGGTGGTTCTGGTGGGGAGTCACCAGTGGTTGGGGAGTAGCTGGGTGAGTTGCTGCTGGAGTCGTTGGAGCAACTGGAACACTGACGGGATTCGAAGGAGCAACTGCAGTAGCTTGTCGTTGACGTGGTGGTGAAGATGGCCTGCTAGCTAGCATTCTAACTCTCTGGGTGCTGCCGTAAACGTCGACAAACGCCCAAAGTTGGAGACTCTGGTCAACGTGCATCACTATGTTGGGTGGGCCGCCGTTTTTCGACATCTGGACCTCGCCGTAGTGGGTAACTGTGAAGGCTATCTCATCACCGGGTTGGGGAGAGGAAGCTACGTCTTTGGACACCACCCAGTATTCCGGACGGTCTAGTAAAAGGTCGCTGTCATCTGGAAGATCTTCCGCAGTTAGACGGGCTGGGTCGCAGGAGGTTAAGCCGAGAGCCAAAGCTCCGACGTACATTGGTTCTGTAGAGAGGATTTGGACGACTAGACGCTCTCCTAGTATCAACGGACGATTTGTGAATGCGTAACCGTGACAAAACTCGGTATCATTGCGTGTTGCTACGCATTGCTGATTGCTGAACCGGATGTTCCGGCCACGGACTCTGCAAGATAAATTAAATTGTTAATTAAGTCAGGATGTGGATGATTAGCTGATAAAACAAACTATTCAAAAAAATTATTTTTAAGACAACTACACGGAAAGAACAAGATTATACTGGATATAATCCCAGATTATACTGGATATAATCCCAGATTATACTGGATATAATCCCAGATTATACTGGATATAATCCCAGATTATACTGGATATAATCCCAGATTATACTGAGTGAAAAAAAAGTTACAGATAATAAGCTAGTATAAATCCAGACAGATATAATCCCAGATTATACTGGATATAATCCCAGATTATACTGGATATAATCCCAGATTATACTGGATATAATCCCAGATTATACTGGATATAATCCCAGATTATACTGGATATAATCCCAGATTATACTGGATATAATCCCAGATTATACTGGATATAATCCCAGATTATACTGGATATAATCCCAGATTATACTGGATATAATCCCAGATTATACTGAGTGAAAAAAAATTCAGATAATAGCTAGTATAATCCAGACAACAATGAGTATAATCCAGATTACAATGAGTATAATCCAGATATTATTCAGTATAATCTGGATTATACTAGCTACCATCTGAAAATTTTTTTTTACCTCAGATGTCACTGAGTATAATCTGATATGGTTTCCAGTGTCATCTTGTTATTTCCGTGTAGTTGTTTGATTTCAACTTTTGAATTCATGTTAAGAGAATTGAACTAAAGGGAGCTGTATAAAATCAAGATACTTACGGGTGGAAGGGCAGTGGAGCGAAGAGGACACCTGATGGCTGAAATCTCAGACCTGGAAGATCAACATCTGGCTCTGGACCATGATGGAGCACCATGTTTTGCATGGTAGGAACGATGATTTTCTCAACGATATCCCGACCCGCGTTACTAGCGTCATCCATGGCAGTGTGTCTGCTAGGTTGGGCGTTGTCCTCGTTGCTGTGCTCAACCCCGCGTCTGATGTTGTTGAAGTGCTGTCTGTTAGGATCCAGGAACTCTATCGCGGTGCTGTTTCCATAGACGTCTATCACCGCCCAAAGTGGGCCGCGGGTTTCAACGCCGCTGAAGAAGACTCCCTTTTCCTCGCCGTTGACTCCAAAGTGGACATCACCGGCGGCTGTTACGTAATAGAAGAGAACTGTGTCACGGCCAGCGAACCGCTCAGCCAATGCTTTTGCCCAATACCCCGGCTTGTTCGTTAAATCCGGGCAAGCGTAACGTGGTAATCCGTTTCTTAGGTGAACTGGATCGTTGCTGGTGAAACCGAACCGTATTACGCCACTCCAATTGTTTGACATCTCCAGGAATTTCACGCAGACCTTTATGGATTAGATAGTTTGATAAATTATGCCTGTTTGTTGAACATTGGGTTGTATTGGGAAGAATGAAGATAAGAATGTGTTTGATAAACCGGATGTCAATGTGTATGTTAAAAAGTGTAACGGAAGTTAAGCGGTTAAAAAATTTCCATACTTAAGGCTAAATTATCATAAAACTACTATACGAGAATTTTGTATATTAGATAATCAGACATTTATATTCTTTTGACCCGGTGGATTTTTTATGTGATGTAATGGAGATTTTGTTGGACTTTAGCTTACTAGCTACCTTATTAAGTCACGAAGACTGGTCGATTAATTTTAGGGGACTCCTTTTCAGGTATCGAGGAACCCACGTTGTTGAAAAGAAAGAATGTAGGAAGAGGTGATTTAAGAAGTTTGCTATTTACCTTTTCACCGACGCGAACTGGTCGCGCGCTAAATGTTATCCCTTTGCAGAAACTCTCATGCCGGCGGGCAATTGTAGCACCATTGCATAGGCGTATGTTTTCACCGTGGACTTGGTGAAACGTCAAGGGAGGTAAATTGTTTGTACCTGTGTTTGAGGACCTGGGAGCTGAAACATAAACATTAATATTCGATTATAATTTATATTATTTTTTTTTTTAGTAAAATTTTGTCAATTTATTATAAGTAATTTGGCTGCATTCGAAAATTCTCTATTTCTAGATACATAATTGAGAAATGACCTTGTATCTGGTGAACTATTGACGTTTTTAAAGATATAAGCTCATCCTGATGTTACACTCATCGAGACCTTTCATTTGAGTACCCACATGCATTTTTGATATATTTTTCATATATACATATATATGATATATATAAATATATGAAATATATGGAAAAATTAATGTGGGTACTCAAATGAAAGCTCTTGATGAGTGTCACATCGGGATGAGCTTATATCTCTAAAAATGTCAATAATTAAGTACTGACATTGTCATTTTGTCAACTAATGACATTTTTAAAGATATGAGCTAACCCCGACATTACACTAATACATTGTCATTTTGTCAACTAATGACATTTTTAAAGATATGAGCTAACCCCGACATTACACTAATCAAGACCTTTCATTTGAATACCCACATTAATTTTTCCATATATTTCATATATCTATATATATATATCATATATATGTATATATGAAAAATATATAAAAAATGCATGTGGGGACTCAAATGAAAGCTCTTGATGAGTGTAACATCAAGATGAGCTTATATCTTAAAAAACGTCAATATTTAAGAAAGTACAGTGTAATTTAACAAAATTCATTATTTAATAAAGCAAAATTTTATTTATAATTCACAAGTCACTGCAACATTGCTAATGACAATATTGAAGAGATTTTGTTAGTTGCCTGACAACCGCAAATCATGGTCAAGGAACGCTAAATCAGGCTTCCTATTGTTTCGATTCAGGAATCAAGCTTGAAAGATTCTCAGGCAAAAAAGTGATGCCGTAGAATCACCTCCGGTTCTTTTTGGTGTAGAACAACCCAAACCGGAAACCGCATTCTCCGTGACGGAAGTACGAAGAGACAGAGTACATAATATAACGGTAACGGGTTGAGTGATGTTAAGGTAAAATTTACTCAACGATACGCTCTCCTTAGAGTAATGACGCTTAAACGGATGTTACACCAAGACAACAAACAATGACTGATAATAAAAAAGGTACTGTGAAATTCGAAATGTTTGGTACAATAAAAGGCAAACTTTTCTCATCAAACAAAGATCGCCCTTTTTTTTTTTTTTTTTTCGGGCAATATTGCAGAATCAACTTTTCATAAATAAAAAAAAAAAAAGTCTCAGTCAGTTCTGCAATGAGCTCTAACGGTGCAAAACTTTCCCACGGTCATGATTCGTGATAGTAACTCAAAAGTCTTTCACTTATTCAATGATCGAGGAACAAAGATAGCTTATTATGTCTATGTTAAGACACTTGAACCAGTGTATGTAATGTAATTAAATATTCACGGGAAAATATTTATTTGTAACTGCAATTACGATATTTTGTCGTCACGGATGATCGATCATTAACAAATGCCCTTCATTTATCAAGTTACTATCACCAACCATGAATCATGGATGATTTTTCACTACCAATGACTAATGTAAAGTACCCAGTTAAATAAGTTCCAAAGTAAAACGTATACGACCCTATTTTTAATATATAAAGATGTAATTGATGAAATGCTCCTAATAGAAATCTCAAATTCTTTGTTGGAACAAAAAAGCATCTGTAATTTGAAGTTCACTGGTCCATAGATGTAATCGACCTCATCTTAGGCCAGCAACCTACACATTCTCTTTTATTTATTCTCGGTTGTTGCTTTTTGCTTTATACCTGTTGTCGAGCTCATCCAGCACGCAACAAGTAATCATAGTCCAGAAGCTTATCATAATCGTGGGAAAGCTCATCGAAATCTACCGCAAAAATGATAATCCGTCTACTAATTCACTCGTAGTTTATCATTTTCGTAGCCTAGCTCTGAATCACAAAAAAGAAATCCGTAGTAAATAAAATTTAAAAGGAGTGAATCATGTTGTGGCACTTTCCCACGCCCGCAGTGATCTTTGCTACAACATTATAACCTAGAAGTAAGGCCGCTCCTTAAGGCATCTCTAGTATCTAGTTATTTAGCTCCCCTCTATTCCCTTCTAACAAGTTTCCTCTCTCTCGAAACAAACGACTGGCAGTCTCCCGCATAGACACTTATGCAACACCCGATGACCCAGCTGTGGCGCTTCGGTCGGCAAAGCAGATCACCGCGGTCACCACCAAAACAAACAAAGAAATTAAGTTAGAACACTTCCGACGAATTGGAACAAAGGGTGACTCTCGGGTTTAGATCTTTCTGTTTAGATCGTCTATAAATGGGATTTAAAAACATGTGGGCGAAAGATCCTATTAGCAAAGAGGCTTTACAAGGTGATAAGTCTAAGCCGGAGACATCTGCCCAGTAGGGGGCTGCTAACAGAGTAAACACGCTTGCAAAACAATCCCTTGATAAACGAATTTTTGCTACTACTCACCATTGAGCCGCATTTGAGCCACCCGTCTTGCCCTTCCGACTGTCAAAGGTCGCCGGGTTCTTGAGTATGACAACGACATTTTGGTTCTAATTCACTGCACTGAGGATTGGGTGAACGATTTTAGGATGATAACGCGCAGAATTATGATGGTGATCAGGATGGTGATCAGGATGGTGATCAGGATGGTCAACAAAGGATTTACTTGAAGAAGATTGAATGGATGTAAAAAGGTGGTTCACGTTGGACGCCAACGTAACGACTGGCAGTGCAGAACGAAATGGGAAACGAAACCTCACGCTGATCCCGGTGGCAGCTGCAGCTCACCATGCACGCTATCCTATGGCTACGGGGCTTGGCAACAGAAGCGTATGCTTACCACCGCCCTACCAAGTCCCCTTGTGTTATTATGGACTACGTTATGTGTTGCTTGGAGATTGTAGATGTTAGTTCGGTTGTAGTGTTAGTTATAGATGGAGATGTATTGGTATTTGTTACGCGCAGCTGGTATTGTAAAATATATGGTCAACGTTCGGGAGCATCTATCTAGGCCCGCATCTTTTGGGTATTGAAATTTCTGGTTTTTTTTTGTTGTTGTCAATAGAAAAGGCCATGGGAATTTTTATGGATTACTTTTGCGTGGATGGGCTGGTCTAGGTAGTTGGTGATTTCGGGAGAATTTTTATGGTTGATTTGTAATTTGGTTTATCGGAAAAATTTCTCGAGAATATTTGATACCCATTTTAATGAAAATTAAAATAATCATAAAGTTAGCCGAGATTCTTAATTTTTTGATTTATTTTTTCAAATTAAATTAGAACAATAAAATATTTTTAAAAAATTGCACTTACAGTTTTTAAAGTTTTTGAAAAGTGAAAAAATTTTTTTATTTTTTGTAATCATTTTTTCAATAAAAAAATTTCTAAAAATTTTTAGATGTCGGCTAACTTAATTTTCATAAATTAAATTCCGACATCTAGAAAATTTTTAATAATTATTTTTATTGAAAAAATTGTTACTGTAAAATTAAAAGAAAAAATTTGACATGTAGAAAATTAAATAAATTATACGTGCAATTTTTTTTTAAGTATTTTTTTACTAGCAATTTAATTGTTAAAAAAAAATAGAAAAATTTTTAAACGTCGGCTAACTTTATTATCATCCCATTTTATATTATTTTACCGTGCAATTATACATATTGAATGAAAAAAAATGATGAAATATTATTTGATCTTCCCAATTGACATAAAAAAAATATTTTTTTCTGTGTAATTTTTTTATAAGGAAAAAATTTAGTGTGAAAATAAACTACAGAGTTAGTAGATATAAAACAAGATGGATTATAAATAAAAGAAAAGCTAAACTGGGAAAACGAGCAGCTGTCCTTAGATGCGGTTAGGGTGCGCGGCTCCCTTCTCTTTTAGAGAGCTGACAACGGAATTGAAAAAAAAAGGGGATGATGGATACTCATACTCATGTATGCTAGTATGTACATTGAAAAATTCACACAGACTTTAAACATAACTTTAGAGCGAAGGACCCTTCTTGAAGAAACGGTCGCACACCACCTGGCCCTTCTGAAAAATATATCTTGGACAAAAGGCTCCCTAATTTAATCCCATCCGCTTTATAATTCTCTGATCGATGGATTTGTAATTAAAAAGTAGCAACATTAATATTAATAAATTATAAAAGAATTGATATTAATCAACGAGTTGTTATCGTTAATTGAAATAAAACTTTTTAACAATGGAAAGTTATATTACGAATAATGCCAGCTCACCAGGGTAATAAATTATTCGTGGGTGCTAATAAAGTGCTAGGAGTTATCTTGAGTTAGACTAATTTCTCAACACATTGACCTCGGAGCAATTGAATCATCTTGTTATATTATATTATTCTATTTGGTTCAATAAGACGGTGGTTACTTTAACAATTGTACGTGGGCATTTAAATACCGTCTTATTTGACTTGTTGACTGAATTTTATATGTAATATTAGTATTTCCGGCCGTAGGTCACTGCTCGGAAAAATTTAATGGCTTTTAGAGGAGATGTATTTATTTTTAATAGAAATTTTTTTTTTTTTTTTGGTAATTAGTTACTTGATCTACTATTTTGCAAGTGGAAAATTGAAACTATTCGAAAAATTTTGATGTGATCATATATATCAGATATTCAGATTTGTCACATGTGGTCATCTATAATAAATATAATTAAGAAATTACCCTGTATCTTGTGAAATATTGACATTTTTAAAGATATAAGTTCATTTTGATGATACACTCATCGAGACCTTTCATTTGAGTACCCACATCAATTTTTTATATATTTTATATATTTATATATATGTATATATGAAAAATATATCAAAATTGCATGTGGGTACTCAAATGTAAGGTCTCGATGAGTGTAACAACAGAATGAGCTTATATCTTTAAAAATGTCAATAACTAAAAAATGACTTTTTATCTTGTGAAATATTGACATTTTTCAAGATATAAGCTCATTTTGATGTTACATTTATCGAGACCTTTCATTTGAGTACCCATATCAATTTTTCATATATTTATATATATTATATATATTTCACAAATATCATATATATATAAAATATATAAAAAATGCCATGTGGGTACTCAAATAAAAGGTCTCGACGAGTGTAACATTGAAATGAGTTTATATCTTTAAAAATGTCAATAATTAAAAAATGACTTTTTATCTTGTGAAATATTGACATTTTTAAAGATATAAGCTCACCATGACATTACACCCATCAAGACCTTTTATTTGAGTACCCACATCAATTTTTCATATATTTTATATATTTGTATATATTATATATATGTATATATGAAAAATATATAAAAAATGCATGTGGGTAGTCAAATGAAAGCTCCTGATGAGCTTATATCTTTAAAAACGTCAATATTTAATAAAGTACAGTGCAATTTAACAAAAGTCATTATTTAATAATGCAAAATTTTAATTTTGTATAGTTCACAAGTTACATAGTGACTGCAAGGTTGCAAGTATATAATAAATATCTAAGATTTATCAAATGTGACCAAATAGATCTATTATATCAATTGTGATCAAATTTTTTTTCTATAATACACTTTATTAAAACCTTCAAAAATTTAAAAATAACATGTACTGAATTTTCTCAAGATTTCACCCGGAAAGTGCCCTTAAAAAAACATTGAAGAAGAGGAAGTAAAGTATAGAATGGCCTATTTCCTCTATAGGCTTAACAAGTTTTTTTGTCTCTCTTCATCTTCAGCTATTTTAAAACGCCCTCGACGCTATGTATACACACACTGCACACTAGTATAAAGGTGTTGCGTCGCTTTCATACCGTACTATACCGTCCTCCACATAACAAAATTCTGTTATATAGGTAACAGATGAGTATGCGCTTGAAAAAGCTCACTTTTTGCATCCACTACAAAAGGATGGATATTGTCTTTTTCAACACAATGCTCGAGTTTACTAGAGAGTTATAATTAACATAGATCGAAAAAAAAAAAAAAAAAAAAAAAAAAAAAAAAAAAAAAACGCTATCAGACTGTTATCTAACCCAAAAGAAGAAAAATATTAGTCAATTTTTTTGTTTACTTATATTAATTTTATATGTATAATTCTGGTGATTGTTTTTGTTTATTATTGTGCTGAGAGTAAACGGTGTCTCTCAGCTGATAGGGTTAGTAAACGTTAGAACCGCGAATAAAACCGGTTTGTGAAACGGCGCCTGTGGGAACAAAGACGGGTTATTCGCGGGCGCGTGTGACGTCACATGTAAGACTCCATTCGAACGTTTGTTTCTTACGTGGTTTATCCATTAACGATTGTTAATTCTTTAAATTAATTATTTCTAATTCAATAATTTGTTATAAAAAATAGTTGTTCGTGAGAAAATAACTGGTTGGACTATTTTTTAGGTCACATGTTCATTGATTAACGCCCGGTTGATTCATCGAACCTTTTAATGGGATAGTTAATGACCATTTTATTGAGAGAACTTCGGAAGAATCTCATTTTTTCCCTGTTTACTCCAGATCATTAATAATAACGAATTGTATAAAAAATTTATTGCTTTCTTGTTATTAATCGGGTATAATAACAAATAATTAATTACTACTAACGATTTTACTCTTAATTTTAGAGAAAAGCTTATTAAATTCAGGTTAAGAGCAATAAAATTAGTTTGATCATGACTTTATTTAATTATAATAGCCTACAATAAGTGATTAGAAGGGCTTTTCTCCGAAAAATATAGTGAAAGTCGTATAATTAGTTTAAATTTATGGAAAAATCATTAATTGTAGCGTTAAATGATCAACTTTTTGATTGTATTCAAGATATTCATCAGTTAATCATACTATCTTAATATAAGCAATTAGAAACTGTTTTATTCAAGTAGAAATAATTATTTTTAATGTCTAATTAATGAATTTTAGATTGTTTAGTGTTATAGTAATGACTTTTAGTTAAAGAATTATTTTGGTTTGTAACTTTTGAAAAAAATATGTTTTTCGAAAGTATATATCGACGGTCTAATTAGTCTAATTCCTTATTTTTTAGAGAATGATTTTTTAACATTTTGATGTAGCAACCCCCCCCATGAAAAAAAATATAAAAAATATATATTTCGAAATATATTTTAAATATATAAATATATAAAAAATATGTATAATATTTTAGCTATGTATTTATTATGTATTTTAATATATATCTTGAATATATCTAAAATATATAAAATATATATGAAAATCGGGCAAAAATTATTTATTAAAAATATATTTACTATACATATTTTTTATATGATAAATTATTTGAAAGTGATAATAAATTTTGAACAAATTGTTTTTTCGTATAAATAGAAGATTCTTTAAAATCAAGTAAGACAATTTGCTATTTTTATTATTATTATTATTTTTTATTAACACAGACCATATGGCAACTGACATAATTTTATTGTTTTATTGTATGTACATTTTAATATTATAATTGTATCTTAATAATATCTTGTCTAAAAGTTAATTTATAAATTAAAAGTTCAAGAAAGGGATCATAATAAGTTTGTCCATGAGATTTAATTTAATCAATTCTTATTTAAAGTCTAGATTTAATAAGTAATCATAAATGTGATTTTTGATTCTAGGTAAGATTTTTTTTTAATTAAAAAAACTTTAAACGTGTTCATCTCAAAACTATATTTTTCTAGTTTACGTATATGATATCTTCAGAATCATTGACCCGATCTTAATGAAATTTAAGCGAAATATTCTACAAAGTAGCAACTTTTGCTAAAGCTACAAAAAAGAAATCAAAATTTTTATTAATACTATTTTTATAGGGCTAAAAATTGTATAAAAAAACCTTATTTTTTAGTTTTCGCGATTTTCTTCTATACAATAAAATAATATAATAATTTAAAACAATAAAAATGCTATAAGTGGATTTTTTCTTAGAATAATCTAACTGTTGATGACCAATTTTTACCAGTGATTAATTAATAACGTGATATTAAGCAATATCAACACAATAAAACCGCGAATCATCAACAATAAAGCTTATCCTTGCTCAATAACCAATGTCAAGTTGATATCAAAGCCAGGTTTGAAAGCGCGAGTCACCCACAAGAAAACTTGTTAATTGTAAAACTACCGGCCCCGAAGGAGCATCTTGAACAAAAAAGCAATAAAACCTAATACATCTGTCGGTTTTCCAACTGTTACCCAATAGCCCAGTATAAGAAAACCGACAAAGGGAATCTCAAACAACTGGTGTATCATATCCTGAGGGAAGTTTTTTACATCAGGGAATACGGGAGCCGTTAAAATAAATATTGGAGATGTACTCTCAACTGACACCAGACGAAACAACAGGGGATGTTGCTGGGTACGAGGACAAGAGAACAAATGACGAAGATGGTAATATAGAATGGGAAAGAGACGGAAAACGATCAATATCGTTAACGCGTCCTATCAAATCACCCTTTTCAAATTCATGGTAGCAGCATGATATCTTAGATATAAAAAATAGCAAACATTGATGCTTACCCAGTCCCATTTTCCGTTTAAGTTTTTTAAGCACTTTCATCTTGCTCTTCAAGGGAGCTAAGATGTTATCCGTGGAAGTGGTGGTAGGGCTATTTGTTGGAGGTACTTCTGGTTCCTGGACAAACACCAAGGAATTGTCCTGATGGTGGTTGATGTGGTTGTTGTTAAGGTTAGATTGTGATTTACGCGAACTTCTTCGATGTTTGTGTACTTGAATAACAACGCTTGGACCAACTGTGGTTGATATTCGCGTACTGCCGCAACAATGACAGGGATGGCTTTTAACGCCGGTACCTTTGACCGCGCACTCTCCGCCTACCACCCCCATGAAATCGTTTGAATTTATGGTAAGCTGGTTACAACTGCCGAAACACACAATCAAAACACTTGGTCTTGACTGCTGATGATTGATTGAAGATCAATTGGATGATTGATAGGATATGATACGATATGGTATCAATTGATTGGATTTGATTACACTGATAGATCCTGGTAAGGACTGCAAGAACTGCAAGGATTGACTAGGTGGCACTGAACTGATTGTAATTGTAGTTTAAGTGTGATTAAAACTGCGCACGTGTACCAATGGATAAACTAAGAGCGATTGGCGACTGGAGCGCCGATGTTGACGCTCTAAAGTCGAAGCTGGAACTGACTTGTTCGGGTTGTTGCGCCCAAAGATCTTGGTAACCAGCGCGAGCCATCAGCCAATCCAAGAAGGCTCCCCTCCAATGAGGACGCACGCGTGGTAGGAGAAGCTGGGAGAGACGGGGACGATATTGAAGAGCTCTGTCGCTGGGTAGCTTGGATATGAATATGAAGAAGGTGCACTGGATGAGAGTACACGTTTGGTGGAAGAGAAAAGGTGGATATTGGGGTTGAGTGAACTAAATAGGCACTGAGAGGGGAATAAATTTAGTACTGGCACCTGGTGGACAGCTGGCTTTACCTGGAGACTGATTGTGCACCGGGCTTGCCTGCTGCACATTGCCCCAACTTTCAGAAGATACCTTGGGACTAGTAAACTTACGATAGCTTTGATTGTTACTTCTTATATGATGACTGGAAGACTAGGATTCGGGTCTATTCCACGGCTGTTTAACAGTTGGAGGTTTTAACAGGATATTGGGTTTGGTTGGGAGGTGAGATGAGATTCTGCTTGGTAGGTTAGGGTTTTTTTGGAAAGAGAAAAATTTTGGTTTTATTTCCAGGGAATTAATAGAAGTTTGTTAGGAAAAAAATTGCACTTGGCGGTCTTATCATATTATAATAAATTTTTAAATAGTTAAAAATCCTTCTATCAGTGTAGATGCTAATTTATTTGCCGGGAATAAAAATGTAGGATTTTTTCCGAAAAATTATTACATGATAAATGTTAATTATACATGAGGATTAATTATGTTTTATGTAAATAAATTTGATTGTTGAGAAATAAATGAGAGTTTTGTTACGAATTAAAGTTTATTAGTATTTAATACTATTATATTAGATACAATTATGTGTTTATTAAAATCACCACAAGCGGGGTTTTAATACTAGCCATTTTTAATTAATGTGTCAAGTGTGACTGCAGTTAACGAAAAAAGTTATTTCCACTGTAACCACTTGTAGAGATTTTCAATAAAAAATAAAAAATTTCGACGATATAATTGGTATTTTGATTATTTTTTTTATGAATGTCGCTTATCTTAAAAAATTAAACACGCTTTTTCAATTACACTGCAGTTAATCTGTTGACTTGAAAAAATTAAACTATTATTATAAAATTTCAATTATTTGATAATTTATGTGCTATTAAAAAAAATATTCATACCTCTAAAATCGCTCTAGGTCTAAAATTTCAAATTCCAACCTAGTTAATATTTTTTACTATAAATTAAAGGATAATTTTTAATATTTTAATATTATTTCCTTCTGATAAATTAATTTTTTTGTGACAAATTGTTTCAATTACAATTTATCTATGATGTACAACAAATTTTTAGGTTTGGCATATCTATTTATCAATTATTTGCAATATTACTTTGTTTAGTATATAAATAAACACGTATTGAATATGAAGAAAATTTAATTACTATTAAAAAAAAATGCCTGCGAATTTTTAAAAAAATATTCTGATAAATATTATGATCAAAAAGGTAAATTCAGTATTCTGCTTGTTGAAATTGACATGAAAAATTTACAAATAAAAAGTATGCAAATTTAATATATTAAGCCGCTTAAATCTTTTTACGGTAAGCGTTTTTATGATTTAAAGTTTACATAATTAACTCGGTCTTCTGTACTCATGTAATATTATTTTTTTACAGTCTCTTTAAAATTACAATTTATCTATAAAGTACAACAAATTTTTAGGTTTAGTATTACATTTTTTAGTATACACGAAAAGAACAAGATGACACTGGATACCATCCCAGATTATACTCAGTGATATCTAAGGTGAAAAAATTTCAGATGGTAGCTAGTATAATCCAGATTATACTGAATAATATCTGGGTTACACTCATTGTAATCTGGATTATACTCATTGTAATCTGGATTATACTCATTGTTGTCTGGATTATACTAGCTACTATCTGAATTTTTTTCACTCAGTATAATCTGGGATTATATCCAGTATAATCTTATTATTTCCGTGTATAAATAAACGCGTGTTAAATATGAATAAAATTTTGTTACTATTTAATAAAATTGTCTTTCAGTGTATAGAATTTTTAACTGAAAATATTTTGGATAAAAAATTTTTGGCCTTATAAATTAAAACAATATTTATCTTTTTTAACGAAAAAATTTTTCGATCAATATTTAATTTTATATTTTTTACAAATAGTTTTTTTAGAACCTGTAAATTAAATCAAATCCAGCTTAAGCCTTATAGCGATTCCCCAGGATTGTTGTCACTCGAATTTACAAACTATATATAAAACATATAATTTAATTTATACTCGGTTTATTTCCGAGGGGAAATTTGTTAAAATAGATTTTTTTCTAGCCGTATTATATCAGAAATAAAAAACTCATGATGTTACACCTGAAAAGTGAACAACAAACCACTAGCTCGGAAAAAGCAAGACTCATCCTTCAGGAAATCATAAACTAAAAATATAAAAACGGAAGTAAAAGTCGAAAGAAGTCATTTTCTTAATGATATTTTTCATTCCAAATTTAAATGACACTTTTGAATGACAATTAATGATGCATGACTAATTCAAAAAACTTTTCAAGACTGAGAAAATTTTTCTCGAGAATATTTGATACCCATTTTAATGAAAATTAAAATAATAATAAAGTTAGCCGACATTTTAAATTTTTTGATTTATTTTTTTAAATTAAATTACAACAATAAAATATTTTTAAAAAATTGCACTTACAGTTTTTAAAGTTTTTGACAAGTGAAAATTTTTTTTTTATTTTTTTGCAATCATTTTTTCAATAAAAAAAATTCTAAAAATTTTTAGATGTCGGCTAACTTAATTTTCATAAATTAAATTAGCAGACATCTGAAAATTTTAATAATTATTTTTATTAAAAAAATTGTTGCTGTAAAATTAAAAGAAAAAATTTCACATGTAGAAAATTAAAAAAATTATACTTGCAATTTTTTTTAAGTATTTTTTTACTAGCAATTTAATTGTTAAAAAAAAATAGAAAAATTTTAATAGTCTAATTTTAATTTATCCAATTAAGATCAAAATTAAAATCTTACATGAATTTTCATTAGCAATTTCCAAGAAAATACCGCAATAAATAAAGATGTTATATATGTTATGATATGTTACGCTCTGGTCAAACGGCAATTACAATAATTATATTTTTAATTAAACATTCAATCTAGATTACTTAATTACAGTGTTGAGGTATCATTTTGCTACTTTGTAAGAAAAAATAAAAAAATTTTTCAGATCGGTGAAAAAAAAAGACCTTTCCGAAATTGCGGCCGTTGTTCCCTGAAATAATATCGCTCTACCTTTACAGTGAAGTAAAGTAGCACCACAAAAAATAGCAAAGATAATCTTGTTACGCAAGGAAGATGCGTCGCCATATAACCTACAGGAGAAAACACAAAGGGAAGGAAGTGCGTGTACGCCATAATGTACATAACTAACTACTTACTACTTAGTCGTTGGTAACAAACGCGCAACTCGCAACTCGCTATTCCATATTATTGCACGGTACCACAAGCATATTTCCCACCAGCCGTAACCATACCGTTGTACATAACTTTGTTTACCTCTATATGCACTCACTTCATGCATTTATACCGTCTAATGATATTACTTAGTTCGTGATATATTTAATAAGTATGTATTTAGAGTTTTTTAGTTCAATCTTATAACTCTACGCCTACTTTCGGCGAACGGAATATTTCGTAAAATTATAGAATGTCCGCCTTGATAATAATTCACCAAATTGTTTTATTTTTTATTAAGCGGAAATGTGTAGGCTTAAGAATTGGAAATGTCAAATTTTGCTGAAATCAATTTTATTTATTTTATTAAAAATGAATTTTTAATAAAAATAAACAAAATAGTTTTTGGGTTAAAAATTACAAAATAAATATTTAAAGATTTTTAAAATTATAATGTAACTTTTTGTCTTAATTTAATAAGCTCATCCCGATGTTACACTCATCAAGACCTTTCATTTGAATACCCACAAGCATTTTTATATATTTTTCATATATTTATATATTTTATATATATATGTATATATGATAGATATATATCAAAAATGCATGTGGGTACTCAAATGAAGGCTCTTGATGAGTGTAACATCGAGATGAGCTTATATCTTCAAAAATATCAATAATTAAGAAATGACCTTGTATCTTGTAAACTATTGACCTTTTTAAAGATATAAGCTCATCTCGATGTTACAATCATCGAGACCTTTCATTTGAGTACCCACATCAATTTTTCATATATTTATATATTTTATATATATGTATATATGAAAAATATATCAAAAATGCATGTGGGTACTCAAATGAAAGCTCTTGATGAGTGTAACATCGGGATGAGCTTATATCTTTAAAAATGTCAGTAATTAAAAAATGACCTTGTTTTTTAAGAAATATTGACATTTTTAAAGATATAAGCTCATCCCGACATTACACTCATCGAGAACTTTCATTTGAGTACCCACATCAATTTTTCATATATTATATATATTTATATATATTATATATATTTATATATGAAAAATATATAAAAATGCATGTGGGTATTCAAATGAAAGGTCTTGATGAGTGTAACATCGGGATGAGCTTATATCTTTAAAAACGTCAATATTTAAGAAAGTACAGTGCAATTTAACAAAAGTAATTAT